AAATTCTTTTCTAGTGTGAAAAGAACAAAGTGAAAAAGTTTTTGTTATTACTAATTATATGATAATTTGACAGAACTAGAATGTTTTATGCTAGTATAAAAATATCAAATTAATAAATTTATTATATTTCTTTCTATTTTATTATGAAATTTACTTTATCTTTTAAGTCTTTACTTATTCACTTTTACCTTTTCTTTGAATTATAACAATTTCTATAAAAATTGGTATAGAACTTAAATATCTTATTATTTTAGTTTATTGTTTAGTTTCCTTTCCGATTCTTGTTCACATTTGTAAGCTAATTCTCCAATTAGTGAACAAACCCATCATTTACATTAATGAAAAGTGAGTTGATATTCATTATTTTCCTCATTAGCACCATCACCACTATACGTTTCAGGAATCCTGTTACGACTTGGGTTTCGTAGACTTTTACAAGTTGTATAGTGTTCATCTTCTCTTCTTTGATATGGTATTGTCAAGGTTATAACTTGGTGAGGAGAAGTGGCTGTTGCTGTTGCAAGGTTCTTTCATTTGTTCTTTTCAAAATCTCATGTAACAGCTAGAATTAAATATAGAAGAAAGTGGTGCTTATATAATGCAAATTTTGTTTCAATTCTCATAAAATTTGCGTTTGCGTGTGTAGAAAATCTTTTGGTAGGATAAAAGCATTACAAAAAATTTAGCTAACATTGGTGTCTGCACAAGTAGACGAAAGAGCCCCATTTGAAATACTATTCTCAGCAGAACAACCAGTACAGTTAAAGCATAATATTTTTTGATTCAACATCAATTAAAAATCCTAAATATCGATATAAATTCATTGCAACTAGAATATGAAGAAATTTTATTTTGTTTATAATAATTTTATTTAGTTATTTCTAAATACTTTTGCTTTAGACAGTTAGGTAAATAGAATTACTAACTCTTGTAGAATTATTATACTTAAAGATAAAATTTCGATAAAAAAGTTTTAACCACGGATAACGTTAGCACACAAAGAGTAGCCAAGGTTTTTTCGACACAGAAATATACGTAATAGTCGTATTTAAACAAATGGTTTAGCATAATTTCAAAATGTATAGAACGATGTTCTGTTCTATTCATTTAATCACAGGTAGAAAAGTTTTTTTTGGTGAACCTCTAGAGAAATTCCGGATTTCCTAGTTTTCTAATAATTCATTGAATTTAGAAAAAATCACAGAACCTCAATAAAACCACTAGGAAATCCGGAATTCCTCTAGAGGTTCACCGAAAAAAACCCACTAGCGTACCAATCCTCTTCTACCTGTGAATATTCATATTATTAACTTTAATTTGACTTTTATCTGATTTGGAATTTTGGGTAGATGTTTCGCGGATTTCGACATCGGCTCTTATGTACTTCGTTATATCGATATGTCTAACAATATATCTAAAGTGCGTTAGAATTCAACTTAGGTGATATATGTGTGTGGGTGGGGTATACGATGAATAATGTCAGATCTAATCCTTTAATAAATCCTAAATCTTGCAAGCTCGCCGAGGAATGACATTGTAAATTTATAGTAATAATGTATTTAAGAAATATGTCTATCTAATAAAAAGCTGAATTGCGAAATAGATTAAAAGCCCAAGTATAATATCTGAATAATGGAAACTTCAATTTTATAAAAAAGCTTTTACCATTTAACTCTTCAACTTCAGTATAGGCTCGCTTTAGTATAATAGAAACATTAGCCATATAGTTTTGTTTATTAGAGCTCTTCAATCAATCATATATATAACGATAATCTAATACAAAAGATAAAATCCAGGTGTAAATTTTTATTCTCTAGTTTTAATACTTTTACTGAATTTCTAAATACAATACATGATTTTATATATTGTCTGCATGATTATCAGTTCAAAAGTGAGATAAGAGAATACGTAACCAATAATAACATGCATAAAGTACAATTTACGTATTAACAATGGTGCAAGCCTGATTGATTAAAACCAAAATTTAAAAAGGAAACTTCTCCACACGCAGCTGACATAAAGATGCCATTCAATGCAATCTCCGTTGGCATAATCAATGAGTACATACCGCCTTCTACTTCTTCACCACAACTATAGAATTTTATTTCCCATTATGCTGCACATTAGATTGTGACCGTTGAAAGGTGAAATTATCACATTGGATATGATCGGAAAAGCAGATTATTCAAAACACATTCTCTAATTTTGCTCTTCCAGACAACATGAGAGAAACATAATCAAATTAATTAATAGAATCGTATGCTTAACCTAAAATTTGCTAATACGATTTATTTTTGATTTTTCGTCTCGGTGATGATTTTCATTATCAATAATAACCAAATAAATTTCCTTATTTGCAGTTGTTTTCCCCGCATTCATACAGGATTGAAATGTTTATTACCATATTTTTTACCCTGAAATGAACACAAAATTTCAAAACTTCACCCTTGACGTCCGAGGAGTATTTGTTGTTGTGCAATTCTATTAACGTTAGTGTATCATCTACACGTATATAATAAATCAATACAATGTTAAACTAATTTATAACCAGATTGATGGCGTTGGGCGTGTTTCTTTTCAAACAACCAGAATTTCTTTCATTATCATTTTCCTTAGATGGTAATAATATTTTTGACTTGTACTACTATTTCCCCACTGTTTACTTTTCTTTGGTCGATTGTTTCTTGAAATAGTTCTTGCTGCATCGCGTCTTTCGTTTGTTGTTACTGAATTGAGATAGATTTTCCCCAAAAATTAATTTTATATAGATTTAATTTACTCGTAATGAGCCAAATTTATTGATCAAAGACAATGGCTCGAGAAAAATACCTTTTGACATCTCTGAATCACAAAGAAGTTGTGCCACTTGTCCCATTCAATGCTGAATGCTAATAACTTTTTAAGAAGAAAATAAAAAGAGTTTAGACCTGTTTTATTTTTTTTTTTTTTCGAAATCGACAAATCAAAATTCAAACCGTGGCAGAATTCTATTGTCACATTCGAATTTCATCGAGAAAAGTTTAGTTTGACAGGTTGGCGATTGAGATAATTGAGAGAGGATTAGTTGTCGTTGGGGGTGCAACATACCAAGCTAACAATATGTACCCCACTTCTATTTTACTCTTGGTCTCGCTCGCTTTGGCTCATTCGCTTTCCTGTTTCTTTTTTTTTCTGTCTGTCAAAATAATTGGATATTTTCCAGCCTGAGAGATTTTTGATTGGTTGATTAATTCACGCATAACGATAATAGCAAGATAGATAATAGACCATTCTAAAATAATGATAATAATAGATCATTATCTCTTGGTTTTTTTTCACAATGTATGACAATTAAGCGTGTGCGCGTGTATATGTCGTGTGTGTGTGTGTTCTAAAGTCCAATTAATGATTTAATCAATTGTTTCATTGACTGACTGAATCATTCTGACATATTGACGACTTTACCGAATCGACAAAAAATTCTCCCTAGCATGAATACTCACATAAATGCATGCACATATAACTATATGCTCATATATACTTGGTGACCAACCAACGGACAAACTATCAGATTACATTTTCTCCTTGCATAAACATCTATTTCGGTAGAATCCCTTTTCTCCTGCGGATACACGAATGATTTTCAACTTTCTACGCTAATAAATTATATTTAATTTCCTTTTAAGTTCGATATTCTTGCAGAATCCTTCTCACCAGCCGCCAAATCACAATATAATTAATCTTCATAATATAAAACAGCAATAGAATAGACCCTCCTTCTTCTTCATATTCAATCAATCCATCCATCAATTTACGCCTTTTATTGCCTTTTAATATATTTATGATACTGCATATAAATTCATATGTACTGGTGACAATTATGTCATCTTGTCCTACTTTTTGCACCACATCAACTAAAAACCCGCCTTCTGACTTAATTATTTATACGCGTTACTATTAAAATATGTATCAATCAATCAATCAAATCAAAATTTATTATACTACTAGTATATTATTATTATTCGTTTTTCTGTTCCAAACCCACACTCCCTTATTCAGGGCTTAGCGATCAGTTCCAATATATATAGTGATTGTAGGCCGAATTATGATATCACTAAACCCGCAAAAATTTATTGGGTTGTAGAAATTATTTTGTGAGAGCAACAGAGCAAGCACGAATACTCTGCCTTGTTCCACCTTATTATATTATTGTCACCCGTGTGCACCATATTTCTTGTCTTGGAAATTATTATTAAGAAACGAACTCTTTCACAGTTGGCTTTTTTTAACGAAACTACTTTTTTTCTATTCTCGCGTCATTACTGTACAAAATCTTTTTCTGAAAAAATTTTTTTTTTAATTCACACTTGACAACCATTTTCTTAATTCTTTTCTTTAATATTCTAGTAATATATATAATAATATATAATAAATAATAATATAATAAGAGTAATAATAATAATAATAATAATAACAGTAATAATAATAGTAATAGCAGCAACAATAATCATCATACTAATAATAACCACAATATTAACCAAACCAAGATACATTCTACGACTCTATCATAATGGCTGGAAAGTAAGTGTCATTCATTTCTTTGTAATCTTCGCGAAAAATGTAAGCTCCCCTAATCCTGTTTTTTCGTTACCTTTTTTCTCGGTCAGAACTTTTAAATCTATTCAAGAAGAACTTGCACATTATAAAACAAGAGCTCTTGAGCTTGAGGAAAATTTAGCGGAAACACAAATAGCTCTTGAAGAGTTTCAGCAATCATCAAAGGAACTCGAGGAAGAACTTGAAAGAGAACTTGAACAATCAGAAAAACTCTGCAGAGATTTAAAAACCAAAAATGAACAATTGAAGAATGAAGTTGATGTATGGAAGGTAAACTTTCGATGCCCTTTTTTTTTAATGATGCATGTCTTTTATTTTAATGACGCAATACTAACTAATTATTTACTCCAAATTAGCAAAAATATTATCAATCTAAATCTGAAGCAAACATCAATAACACACAGATGCAAAGAGAGCTCGATGGCTTACGATCCCTCAAAGAAAAATTTATGGTTCAGACAAGAGAACTTGAACTTCACAATGATGATTTAGAGCGCACAGAACGGTTCGTATATCATTATTATTATTGTTGTTGTTGTTGTTGTTGTTGAAAGATATCCATTACTTATAATTATTATCTTTGTGATCTTCAAAATTAATAGAGCTGCTCAATCATCTTTGATGGATTTGGAAAGTAAATATAATAAGGCAATCGAACGAAATGTTCTACTCGAAAATGAACTTGAAGGAAAGAATCAATTGATTGTACAAGTACAAAGATTAAAAGATGAATTACGCGATGTAAATATTGAAATGGCAATTTTAAAGAACAAACAAGATGGAGAATATGGACCACCAACAACAGCTGCAGTCACCACTTACTCAAGACCAAGCTCAGCGATGTCTGTCGATAGTCTTCCACCACCAAGTCCTACTTTTTCCACACACGCACAATCAAATCCTGTTATGATGGTCCAAGAAATGGTCGGAAGAGTAAAGGTATTTATTCCATTTGTCAATATTTTTATTAAATGATTGAAGAATAATAATAATAATAATAATAATAATAATAATAATAATAATATTTATTTAATATCATCAGAGTCTGGAAGCCCGTCTTGTCTCTTGCCGATCACTTGTAACTCCCCTCTTAGCACCACCCCCATCATATTCTACAACGATGCCACTTTGCACATCTCCTCCTAGTAATTCACCTTCACCCGTATTCTCAAAACATCGATCAGATATTCCTTATCGCTCTCCGTCAAAACCACATCGACGATCTTCAGCACAGAAAAAGTCATTTATGTTACATAATCAAATTCCAATGTTCACTCCAACAACATTTCAAGTTTGAACATTTGATTAATACACAACTGTTAACTGAAATAATAACTTATTGACTGATCTGATTGATCTGATTGATTACTGTACGCGTGTTTGGATTATTGACGTTTCTTTTTTTCGATATCTAAAGTCGAGAATTAGAAACATCTCTATCGAACTTTATCTTTTTTTAAAAAAACGTTTGTAGAAAATCATGTAGATATAAACTTTTTTTCTAATTTTCTTTTTTTCTTCCCAGATTTATTTACTTTCTTCTTTCTCACAAAATCCCATTTATTTTGTTACTATTACTACATACATATCCATCTATTGTTATTACCCACAAAACACAACGCACTTTCTATTATAGTTATTTCGCGTGTTCATGGATATCTTCTAAATCTTATTAGCCTAAGGACAAACCCACATACAGATTTGGTCACTGCACATTTCCTTTCCTCTTCCTTTTCTAACGAGTAATTAACCTAAATGACGAATGATTTTTCTTTTTTTGAAAAGAAGAAACATTATTACGTTAGGTTTATTATTTGCAGAATCTAAAAATCTACATACTTTAATATAGTTTTTACTGTAGAATAAGTTTAATGCTTTTTGTGTGTGTGATTATATTTTCTAACTATTCCCTCTTTGCTTTTACATTTATTCACCCTCTCCCACATTGACATTGGTGAATTCGCAATCCTTTTGCGTTATGATCAGATGACAATGGGTGTGATAATGGAATAGCATGGGCAATAGGAAATGAGAAGGCAAAACCAACACACATGATGGCATTACTACAACAACAATAATAACAAGAGTACAAAAGAAAAAGACATCGATAACCCTTTGTATTTAGTGAGTAGATCATATAACCTATCACGTGTCACTCACAAAGCATCCAAATCCCTACTTAATTATATATATAAGAAGCAAAAAAAATACTATAATTATTATTATTTATTATTTATCGTATAAGCTTAAAGAAATAAGAATTAAAAAATCCAAAAAAATATAAATTTATACCCTGATTTTTCCATTTTTCTTGTGGGTTTTTCACCATCTTTCATTGTCATTGATCATTAATCATTAATAATGGGCAAATGACATTTGGTTGTGTTTAATGTCATTAATTGGGTAATATCAATTAGAAGAGGACATTAATTACATTTCGGCTTTAATCCTTCTTCTTTTAATCAGCGAAACAAAAATGCCTTTCATCAATAATTTACTCCTTATTTTTAAATCTTTTAGCCCATACATATTTTAAGAAAAAAGATGTTTTTGTTTTGTTTTAAGCATATAATATTCTTCACAACACGCGATCAATAAACTTTATTTTTATTTCCTATGGGATTATTCGATAATTCTCTTCTCTTTCCCTTCTTAACATTAATTTCGTATTCCATTAATGCTTTGTAAATAAATTTGGGAAATCTTATAAAAATTATTTATTGTTGTTGCTTATTGGAAAGTTTAGTAACACCTTCATCTTTTCTTTTTTCTCTTGAATTCAGTCATACATTAAATTCGCACTTTTCACCTTTGAAAAACAAATCATACACACACACGACCTGTCACATCGTTTCACGTATCTTTATAACAACAATAATAGTCTCATTAAAATTGTTATAAATTATTTTTGGTTGGACATTGGTTACCTTGAAAAAATCACGATCATGGGTGAAAACTTGATAATGGCACTTTTTCTTCTCTGAACATTGTAAAATTAGATTTATAATTCTTTCATCCATAATTACACCTCATACACGCATATATGATTATACTCACCATTCATCTGGTCAAAATCCGTTTTGATCCTTTTTCCCTTATTCCACACTTAACGAAATTGAATGAAATTGACATTCTTATTGTCTTTAATCCGAGAGTTGTAAATATAAAAAAAAATATATATATATGGGTGTGTGTATGCGTGTAAGTTGTGGATGATCTTTTTAATATAATATTTTTTAATTATTTTGTCTGTTTTTATAATTACGATCATTATTTTGGTCATTTGGTTTTTTGTCCGTTACTTTTATATTATCATTATATGATCAATAAACAAAAGTACGCGAAAAAACCAGCAACATCAAACTAAATCATTCAACAATGAAATCTTGTAAATAGTGGAACAACCGATTAGTCTACTACACACGACACGATCAGTCCAATCAGTCAACAAATGACAGACAGAAAACAGATAACTCACAACAATACACGTACAGACTCAAAAATACAAACAATACAATTGAATTCTTCTTTGATAGGTGATTTCCCCCCCCCCCAATTCGAAAATAGATTTAAAATAGAAACACATCACCCCAAAAGTATTTTTACCTATAATATATATATTAATTTTTTCTTATTTTCTCTCGCGATCATTATATTATCGCAGCTTTTTTAATCATTTTGTTCTCTATTCTTGCTTCGCGCATCCCTAATAATATTATTAAGAGGTTGTATCCACTAAAATGAAATTAAGTTTTCATTATTTCTAAGTAATAAATTATTAATGTTATCAATTGTAAGCTCAGTGCGCTTTTTTTAAATCGATTGAATATCTGACGTTTCTTTAATTAAGGTTGTAATAGTCTCGTAATTAATTGCATGTTCAATGTTTCTGGATCTGACCCAAGTCTATTATTTGTTCATGACTTATTGGATAATTGATTTCATACATAGCTAAGTTATTCCTATGATAAAATCCTGCTATAATCACATTTGTAAAAAATTACTATTGAATTCAGAATATAAATTATTTTAATAAATAATTTAATTTGATATAATTTTGATATGATATATTAAAATTATAAATTCTGAATATAAATTATTTAATAAATAATTTAATTTAATATAATTAAGCATTTTGATATGATTATTATAAAATTCTATTAGATATTTATAAAAAAAGGATCAATTTATTCATAATAACTATCATATAGTAACAATCAGAAATAATAAAATTTATTAATTAAATATAGTGAAATGCGAATTTTTCTCTTTATATAAGTTTTTAATTTTACTAATAAATATTTTTTATTTTTATATTAAAATGAAGATTTAATCTGATAAAGCTGTTCTAATTGCATATAAAGTCAACTATTTTTTTACATGTTTTAATTATAAAAAAATAATTGATTTTATATGCAATTAAAATAGTTTTATCAGATTAAATCTAAAAAATCTGAAAAAAATATATATTAAAATATGTAATATTATCTTTATTTTAATATAAAAATAAAAAATATTTATTAGTAAATCAAAAACTTTTATATAAAAAGAAAAATTCACATTTTATTATATTTAATTAATAAATTTTGATATTGTTGCATTATTTTTAATTGTCACTAGATATAACAACTTTAATATATATTTAAAATTTTAATTCTAACTCTAATTAAGATTTTAATTAACCAATTAAAATGTAATTATTATAAATATATCTTTATATAAAAATATTATAAATTTTCAAAAAAATTAATTTTTGATTGAGAAATTATATTTATAAATAAAATAAATAAAATATTATATCAAAATTATCAAATAAAATATTATTTTTAATACTATCATTTGTAAATTAATATTATAATAAAATTTTTATTTATATTTTATTAATTTATTTAGAATTTTAAAGTTTAATTTGAATTTAATTTAGATTTAACAAGTTTAATTTGAGTTTGGTTTAGTTTGAATTTTTGATATGGATCTTGTTTTGTAATAAATATTATTTTTGAACAATCTTTTGACTTTACTTTAACTAGAGTTCTGAAAAAAAGTTTGGTTCAGTTTGAGTTTGATTCAGTTTGAGCTTGAACTAAACTCAAACCTAACCAAAAGTCCAGTTCAAAAATTTGAACCTAATTAAAAGTTTGATTCAAATTTAGTTCAAATTTCAAATCAGACTCGAACCAGACCAAAAGTTTAGTTTGAGTTCAAGTAAATATTCTAAATAAAGTTATAGATCATAATATGAGCTACAAATTGATATAAGATAATTAATACTTAAAATAAATATTTAAGAAGTTAAAAAATAATTTTAATTATTACAATTTTAATTTACTTTTATTTTGTTATATTAATTATAAATTATAATTATAAATAAAGTTATAGCTAGAAATAAGAGCTACAAATTAGTATAAAATAGTTATTATTAATAATAATCATTCGAAGAGTTATATAGTATTTATTATCAAATTTAATAAATATAAAAATAAAAATATTTTAGTTATCACTATATAAACTTTTAATTCTTACTGAATACTATAAATTGTACTTATAAATAAAGTTATAGCTTATATTTAGAGTTACAAATCAATATATGATACTATATGCTGATATTTAATTAAATTTAAACCAAACTCAAACTTGTATAATAATTCAATTCAAATTCAGTTTGAACTTTAAATCTTTCTTGAATTCAAGCTAAAGTTCAGTTTGAATTTTGAATCCAGATAAAAGTTTAGTTTATAGAAATACTAACTTTAACTTGCAAAAATTCAGAAACTAAGTTAATTGTTAAAAAATATTGATTATCTTAAACTCATCTAATAATTCATTAATATAAAATAGTAAATATTAAGGTTGCTTGCCAAAATCTCTTAGTAACTATCAAAATTCTGTCAAAATTATAATAAACTATTAGTAAATAACCTGTCAAAATTCTAACAAATTTTGAAACCCGTCATAATTAAAATTATATCAAAATTCTAATTAACAATTAGTATATAACCTGTCAAAATTATAACAATATTTTTCTGAAAGAATTTAAGCAATCATCCTTATCTCTAATAGTGATTTTATTCAAGTTTTGATAATTCACACATAAATAAATTAATTATTCTTTTTTTGGTGATAATAATAGAAACTGATCAAGATAGTAAAATAATTCTATTTTTTATTATCTTATTTATTTTATTTTTCAAAAATTAATTTTTCAATGATAATTTTTGATAATATAATTTAAGAGTAATTGGTTTAGTAGTAATAATTAGTATTTCATATTGAACAACTATAATATATTTAAATTTG